GAAACCCGTGCCCTGTGCATCGTGTACTTTGGGCATGGAGGTGCCTGCATTAGCTCCCTTCAGTGGGTGGACGCGCCACACGGATGTTGTCCTGTTCTTCGGTCCTGCGTTGGTGCCAACTGCCAACGTTTGCCCCGAGTGGATGAACCGTGTAGTTTTTGGGTGTTGTTTTTATTTTCCTTTTTTTGGGGTCCTGTTCTTGTCTGTTGTTAGAGGGGACTTGGCAGCGGCGCGGCAGAAGGGGGGTCCTGTGCGGGGGAAAACGTGGATGGGGGAAGCACCTGAATCGTCCCCGTCTCTGTGCTTTTTCGTGTGTGTCTTGCTTCGGGGGTGTGAGCGCAATGACGAGGGGATTTGTCCACTGTGTGTGTCCGCTGCGGCCCCGCATTCGGGAAAAGGGTGACGTGCACATCTACGTGCGTGTGTGTGTGTGGGAAGGACCATTTCCGTGACGGGGGTAACTTCGCTTCGGCTTCAATCGGGCGGGTTCCGTCGGTTATTGCTGCTTGCCGAGCCCTGCGTGCGTGTCTGGGCGAGAGCGGTGCGCAGAGGCTGCGGTGCGGTGGCCGTCGCGTTGGCTTGCGGCCTCGCTCCCGCACTCCCCCTCCCGCGGTCTCTCCGGCTGCCTCCTCCACCTTCTTTCCCGCCTCTTCCTCCCGCCTCTTGCAGACAAGGCATTTGCGACTGCCGCCATCCACGACAGACCAACACAGACACTTCTCTCACGCCATGCGCCGTCCGCTCCGCGCCGCACTGCCGCTGCTGCTGCTGCTCCTCGCAACGACGTGTTGCGCCGTTGGGTGCCTCGCCGCCGCTCACCGCCGTGCGTTCGACGAGGCGGCGTTGAAGAGCGGCCCGCTGCCGACCGCGATGGTGCGTGAGGTGCCGCGCAAGGGAGAGGGCGCGGCGCAGGCGTACACCGTCGCCGCAGCGGGCGAGGGCAAGGAGTGGGAGCCCATCCGCATCGTGGTGTCGATGGAGGACCTGAGCGACGCAAGTAAGTACTGCACCAAAGCAGACGAAAAGAAACCCGACTTCAGGGGAAAAGAGTCAGAGTGCAAGAAGGAGGAAGTTCTGACCGCGGATTGGAACAAAACCCTGGTGAACGAGGTCATCCCCGTGGCTCTCAAGCTGCACGCGGAGCGTCTGCTCGTTCAACGCCTGAAGGCTCCGCTGAAGGTGCCCAAGTTCACAGAGGAGCATGGGCTTTGCCAGCACTTCAAGGTCCCCGAGGGGCACCAAGGTGCGGGGGTTGAGAATGCGGACATGGTGCTCTACGTGGCAGCCAGATCTACTTACGGGGCGTGGGGTCTCCCGTGTGCGTTTGGTACGGATGGTCGTCCAATTGCCGGTGCGCTGCATCTGCTGCCTTCTAAACAGTTGTCTGCCATGCACTCTGCCCGCGTCGCTGCGCATGCAATCGCCTATGCCCTTGGCTTCGACGCGAAGCAGATGAAGAAGCACAGCATGCTGACGACAGTCTCTGACTTGCGCGGCGGCAGCTCTCCAGTGACGGTGGTGAAATCTGCCGTTACGCTGAACAAAACGAAGGCACACTACGGCTGCGACAAGCTGCAGGGCATGGAGCTGCAGGACTGCGACGGTGCGAAGGACTGCCACTTGTCGTTGCGCAACGCGAAGGACGAGCTGATGAGCGAGCTTGGTGGGCACACCGCCGGCTACTACACGGCGCTGACGATGGCAATGTTTGAGGACCTCGGCTACTACAAGGCCGTGTGGGGGATGGAGGAGCCGATGGCGTGGGGCAGAGGCGTGGGCTGTGACTTCCTCGAGAAGCCGTGCTCGGACAAAAGCCCCACCGAGCACCCCGGCATGTTCTGCGACAAAAAGACCGAAAAATCGCTTCGCTGCACTTCCAACCGCCAGGCCATCGGGCAATGTGAGTTCAATGTCGCTGAAGTCGGCGGCAACCCAAAGGAGACCTGCTATGCTTTTTTCCCACCTAGTGAGCAACTATCAAAGTTATTGTGCACTGTGGAAGGAACGAGCCCGCAGCCCGGGTCCCTCCATGGGGGTGGCTCGTGGTGCCTCGATGCGGAGAAACTGGAGGCCAAGAGCAAGACGAGTGACGAGGACTACACCGAAGTGCACGCGGTGTGTGCGGGGGTGCAGTGCGAGGCGGGCAAGGTGAAGGTGAAGTACATCGGCAGCGAAGCGTGGCAGGAGTGCCCCGAGGGGAAGTTTGTCACGCCGAAGTCGGCGTACTTCAAGGACGGCGGCAAGATCAAGTGCCCGAAGTACGAGGAGGTGTGCACCATCGCCGCCAACGGCAGCAGCCTCGTCAAACCCAGCCCCGCTGACAAGGACGTCAAAAAAGCCGACACGGACAGCAAAAAGAGGAC